ATATATATATTTACTGTATATGGACAGCAAAAATAGAGCATTTAATCCAGGATGGACAGAGTTATTTTTCTTTAAACTTCCCATTGGAACTAAACAGCTGTGTCTCACATGTTCAGAAACGTGACACTTATTAGATGTGGGCATATTTAATGCCATTATGAAACAAAGTATAAAAGTTTTAGACTAATGTACCAAATCAACATGCACAGCTGTCATGTATTGTTTAGTCTCTTATTTTGACATGTTCACCATACTTTTACTCAGTAAGAAAACATAAAACATCAGACTTTAGAATTTCACGTTCATCTTTTTTGTTACATGACAATTAATATTGAAAAAGTATTTGAATTAGTCTGAATTAATTAAATTTTAAATGCAAATCAGTTTGTGCAGATGTTGATACAACTGCTAAGCTACCAAAATATATATGATTCTAAATAGTAGGACATTATGATCTTATGGACTTTGCCTTAAGAAATTTTCTCTGATTGGACTCGTTTAAATTTTAATTAATTACTTCTGGTATAGGTCATCAAATCAGTGTCAACTAGGTTGCCTGCAGTGATTGTTACTGTCCAGCAGGGGTCAGTTTACAGTTTGGTAATGTGTCCAAAACRCTTCATCGTGCCTCATCCGCCCAGCACTACTTCTGTGCTTCATTTGCCTGTTTTTGTTCTCAGCACATTTCTTGTGATCCTGTTGAATGTTTGCAGCCAAATGTTTGATGGTTCTGTGATCACGCCTCAATATCTTTGCAGATTCAGAGTTCTGCATTCCTCTGAAAGACTTCAGAATCAGTTAAACCTCTTTTTTGGCCCATTTAGCTGGAGGAAAAGAAGCTGCCCAYTGATTCTGCACACCTCGATAAAGGGTGTTGATCTCCTTAGCCCCCAAATACACATCAGCTGATTCAATTTTATCCAATAAACATTCAAGTTTATTCAGCTTGGAGTTGAAAAATATGCATAAAAATGATGATATGGTCAAGACTACAACTTAGTTAATAATTGCGCGCACAGTTTATGGTTTTAACTTCATCAACATCTTTTCTTCTTATCAGTCTTGTGTCTAATCCCCTCAACACAGGTAGTCTATTAACCACAGAGTATTCAGGAACACATTCAAACAGTAACAATTCCCACATGGAYAATTATAAAATGTATAATGATAACCATCAGAAAGTTAAAATAATAARAGTACTGACTGAATGTCAAAAAGAATCAGTGGTGTTTTATTATAGACTGATTTTAAAAAAGTCTAAAACAGACAGAATCAGTGAGAAACACTTTGGTTTCTGATGGACTGAATCAGGTTTAACTAAGCCTGGTTTGTTAGCCTGGTTTGTTAGCCTGGTCTGTTAGCCTGATCTGTTAGCCTGGTCTGTTAGCCTGGTTTATTAGCCTGGTCTGTTAGCCTGGTCTGTTAGCCTGGTCTGTTAGCCTGGTCTTTTAGCCTGGTCTGTTAGCCTGGTCTGTTAGCCTGGTCTGTTAGCCTGGTCTTTTAGCCTGGTCTGTTAGCCTGGTCTGTTAGCCTGGTCTGTTAGCCTGGTCTGTTAGCCTGGT